GGCCACATGCGAACTCCCCTCCCCCCGCTCTGCCAGTGCCCCTCAATCCCGACTCGCAGCCCCCTCCCCCCGGTCCTCCAGCACTGGCCTCTCCTGAGCTGAGGCTGCTGGCTCGGCAGAACCCGCCCCCGGCGCTGGCGCGTTCGCCTCCTGCTCTCCCCGGCCGTGCGGCGCTCACCCATGCTGTCACCGTCACCCTTCTCCGACTCCTTCTCGCTGTCCCCCTCTTTGCCTTTCTCCTCCTCTTTCTTGGGTGCTTCGCCCAGCTTCTCCTTCGCTTCCTCCTCCGCGCCTCCTTCCCGGGGCTCCTGGGAAAAAGAGTCCTCCGATCTGCCCCGCTGGAACGAGAGCTCCCCCCTGCCCCAGCCCTCCTGGGTGCAGCCACCCCCCGGCCAGACAGGACCAGCCCTGTACGGAGAGGCCACTGGGCATGAAGGGGTGGGGGGATCTGTTCCCCCAGTGGTTCACTCTGCCCCGTCCCACGCTCCCCCCAGCTCCACACCCCCCAGGGCTCCCCCCCAAAGGCGCAGGGTGGGGTCATGCTTCTCCTCCCCTCCCTCTGTACCTTCAGCTCCTTCTTCTCTTCCGCCGGCTGAGGGTCGGCCCGCGTCTCGTCAGCACCGCTCTCCTCTGGGGTGTGGGGGGCGGACAGAGACGGCCAGGTCAGAGCGTGAACGCAGGGCTCCCCCCACCCCCCAGCAATGACAGTCACAACGATGGAGGGGGGAGGATGCGCTAAAGGGCGTGGGGCCGCCTGGGGCGCTGATGCACAGCTCCGGGCTGCATTCAGCCATGCTACTGGACTGAGACCCAGCCAACTCATTTCACAGAGGCCGCCCCGCACTCCACAGCAGCAAGTCTCAGCTGGGCTCACGCCGGGGCTAAAACCAGCAGCGCAGACTCCACTCGGGCTCCCCAAACCCAGCGAGGGGACAGGGCTCACAGACCAAGCTCCGGCCCACGTGGGAACGTCTCCACTGCTGCTTGGAGCCCCGGAGCGCAAGCCGGAGTCAGGCGACTTGCTGACACAGACGGGGATGCTTCCAGCCATTCCCCATCCTGGGCCAAGCTCACTGAGAGGGGAAAGGCCCCATGTCCCCATCCCCCGTCCCGGGGGCAGATTGGAGCTGGCGCCCCCTAGAGGGGAAAGGCCCCATGGCCGGATCCTGACCCCGCCACTGGGTCCCGCTGGGGTTCTCGCGTGCACATGGGAGGGAGGCGGTGGTGACGACGGGGTCCCTTACCCTGAGCCAGCCGATTGAGGGTGAGCTCCAGACCGGAGGCCAGGCCAGCTCTGGTCTCCTGTGGCTCGTCCCCTCTTCGCTCATTACCCTTCCTACTCGCCGCGCCCGGAGCAGCGTCCGACGGAGGCGAGATGGCGGGCGCCTCACGGGCCAAGGCGCGGAAGGAGCCTCGCTCGCCCCCCTCACCTATTCTCTCCGGCTCGTCGGACGTGGTCCCCGCGATCCCGCTGCTCTCAAGCCCGAAGGCCGGGTCGGCCTTGCCCGTAACCTTGGCCGCCTCCTCCACCTTGCGGACGTGAGCTTCCACCAGCGCCGTGGGCACCTCCTCCTTCATCTTGGAGAACTCCTCTGCCGAGCACAGCCCTGGGTCAGATCACTGGAGCGGGATGGGCACTGCCCTCCATCCATCCCCCTGGGGTCCCCGGGGAGGGGACGGGCAAAGGAGACGTGACCTGCCCAGTGGGCCGGGTGCCAGGATAATGGACTGGACATTCCCCCTGCCCCACCAGCGTCTCCTTGGGACTGGGACAGCGTCTGCAGCACCGCCAGGAGCAGGAGACTGGGAAACTCGGGGGCAGGGCACAGCTCTGCTGGGCGCAGGCTGGTGAGCCCGCCAGGCCTGGGTCCGAGAGGGTGGCTCCAAGACTCTCACGTGATCAGACTGCCCGGGACTGGGTCATGCCGCCTGGCTAAGCGGGCCGGGCACTGGAGTTCCGAGCGGGGACGGGGCGTTACCGAGAGCGGACTTGGCCGCCGCGGAGGCCACACGGGGGTCCACGACGGATGCCAGGAAGGCCACGGTGCTCATGACGGGGTTGCCCGACTGGCTGAAGGGGATGGGCTGGTAGGCCAGGGGCCCGAGCGACGCCTCCGAGTCCTCCAGGTAGGGGTCCTCGATGGGCAGGCGCAGGAAGTGGAGGATACACTCGTCTTGCGTGCGGCTGCCCACGTGCTCCGACACCTTGTTCCAGTCGTCCTTGTACATCTCCAGGGCCTGCGGGGGGAGGGGGAGACAGGGAGCCAGAGGGGTGGCTGGGCTGGCGCCAGCCCAGCACCGTGGGGACCCCCCGAGAGCCCTCCCCTCTCACCTCCAGCAGCAGCAGCGTTTCCTGCTCCGTCCACTCCCGAGTGGCGCTGGCGGCGGCTTTGCTCTGCGGGGAGAGGAGATGGCGGGGGTGAGAGCGGGCGACGGTGGCGTGACGCCAGGCCCCGGGGGGGGCAGGGAGCCGCCCGCTGCCCACCTTGGAAGGGACGTTCTTTTTGGTGTACATGTCCGTGCGCAGGCCGAAGTTCTGCAGGTCCGTCGGCTTCTCCTTGCCCTTGTCGGGGAAGCTGAGCATCTGCTGGGAGGCCGAGGTCTGCTGCGGAGAGAGGAGGGGGCAGTGAGCCACTGCTGGCCCCCCCACTCTCGCCTGGCAGCTGACTCCCGATGGCTCGGCCCATGGGCCAAGGCTCCCTGCCTCTGCCCCGTATTGCTGCTGCTCCCAGGGTCGGGGGCTCTGATCGAGGTTCCAGCTCTAGGTACTGGAAGGTCCTGTCACCCACTTGTCTACAATCCCACCCCAGCAGCAGCCCAATGCTTCGAGAGAGAAGCAAATATCCCCCGCCCATTTCCCCTGCTGGGCTGTCCAGGGGCAGAAATTCCTTCCTGACCCCCTAGCAGCTCAGCCCCTGAAGCCTGATGACCCCCACCCTCCCCACCACCGTTGTTAGCCCCCGCTGAACTCCGCAGCCACCTGCGGCGGGGAGTTCCGCAGCTCTCCAGGACACAGCGAGGAATCCACGCGCCTCCTGCCAGCTCCCCCAGTGGGCCACTCGCCTTCTCCCCCCAGAGCAGGCTGCAGAGACGATTCCCAGGAGCCCACCTACCAGCTCGGGCTTCGCTTTCACCGCCTCCGGGACTAGGTCCTCGATTTCTTTGCTCTTGCGGCCGGCCTTCGCATCGCCGTCGCTCTGGCGACCCTGAGGGGCCAGACAAGGTCACGGTGAGCGTGCCCGCTCCCCAGCTCAGACAGGGACGGAGGGGCGAAGCGTATCCCACAGATCAACGCTCTCCTGCCCCAGTGGGAGGCGCTCCCGCCCACGCGCAGAGGGGCCAGCCGGCTGCAGGCCCTGAGCAGAGCAAAGCAGCAGAACCAGACGTGACGGGGTCAGCGCACTGGGCTCCCCGACCCCGGGGGGGAGGGGGAGGGGGCGGAAGGGCAGGAAGGGATGAGCCAACCCCGCCAACAGGGGGAGAGATTCCAGGGGCAGGGTGCCCAGACCCCCCTGGCCGGGCTGATTTCACCCCGTTCGTTTTCTCGCCCTACCTGGGGCGTCTTGGGCTGCAGCGGCACCAGTCCCGAGGGGGTGTCGGCCAGGACATGGAAATGCGATGTAGGGGGAGGTCCCATGGGGGTTGGCCGGCTCTCTGCGTCCACCTGGTAGTTGATCAGCCCCCACTGCTCCAGGAAGGCGTGGACCCTGCAGAGAGCAGCGGGTAAGACGCAGCCCCAGTCCCACGGATCAGCCCCATGGCTGCGTTGTGCTGGTGGGAGAGATGGATGTCTCGGAAGCCCGACTTTGTCCGGGCCTCTCTCCTGTGTGTGGCGGGGGCTGGGCCGGGCGGTCAGCCCTGAAGACCAGAGCTCGATCCGGGGCCAGCTCGCTACCCCCACCCCCACACCTCAGCCCTGGTGCGTGCCAGTCTGGCGGTCGCTCTGCTGCCCAACCCACCGCATGATGGCGCAGACGTCCCCGGCCAGGTTCCGGCGGCAGGCGGTGGAGGTCAGGTACTCCTGGGGGTTCAGCCGGTAGGTGTCGATCATGAAGTTGCGATAAGCCAGGTATCTGGGGAGAGGGGAGGGTTAGCACGAGCCAGGGCGGGTCGGAGCTCCGGCATCGCTCTGCATTCAGAACCCATAGGGCTCAGTAACAGATTTTACGCTGGCGGGGACAGGGTCTCAAACTCACATGCTTGGTCAGCATCACTATCCCCCCCACTCAACAGAGGAGGAAACTGAGGCACAAAGGCAAAGTGACTCAACCAAGGTCACAGTGAGTTAGTGACAAAGAATAGAACCCAGGAGTCCTGGCTCCCAGTCCTTCCCCCTGCTCTAACCACTAGACCACACTCCACCCCCGGAGTAACAAACAGAACCCAGGAGTCCTGGCTCCTTAGCCCCACCCCCCACAGCTCTAACCACTAGACCACGCTCTGCTCCGAGAGCCGGGAACAGAAGCAAGTCCCAGTTCTCTCCCCACCCGCCAGTTTCTACAGCAGGCTGGTAAGTTTCACGCCAGGGGATCCCAGCCTGCAATGCTCCATCCGGCGCCAGCACGCTCAGCCCCTCGCTCCCACAGCCCCAGAAATCAAACCCACCCCTGCCCTGGGGCTACTCCCCTCTCCCCGCAATAGACCATCCCTCAGCGTTGCTCTCTGGCAGCGCCACGCACAAAGCACCGGCGCGGGGGAGCTAACGGATGGGGCGGGGGGGAGCAGCCTTACATTTCGGGGGTCTTGGATTTGTTCTTGCCGTTGAAGAACTCGGGCAGGGCTCTGCGCTCGATGGCGTGCACGCTGCGGGAGAAGCACAGAGCGGGGGCGTTAGAGCCGCGCGTCTCGGAACAGGGGGTGGCGGGGAGAACCCCCCCTCCCCCGGTACCTGTTGTAGTCGAACCAGGCGGCGTAGCTGGGGATGATAATATGGTGAGTCTGCTCCGTCACATTGTCCTCGTGCAGGTCCGGGTTCTTGGCCTGCTCCCCTTTGTTCCCCGCACTGTTTTCCTCCTCATCCTGGAATCAGACAGCCGCAGGTGGGCGGGGGGGGGGAGGGGGCCCACATGCTTGCCCCCGCCCTGCCGCCCCGGCAGCAACTCCACCAGGGCTAGCCCAGCGCGGTCCCCGGGTTCCGGGAGCGGAGCTCTCACCTAGCAGGGCACCGGCAAAGGGACTTCGGAGACTCAGCCGAACCAGGCTCTCGCTCGGAGAGTCCCAGAGCCCTGCGGGGCGCCTTGCGACCCAGGTGCCCCAGCAGGGACCCGGAGAGCCCCCGGTGCCACCGCTGGGGCGCAGGCAGATCCAGCAACATCGCCTGGGGGCGAGGGGTGTTTCGAAGGGGGAGCGGGAGGCTGTTCCCAGGACAGGGGCTGGGGTGTTTGAAAGCGGAGGAGGGGACGGGTGCTACGGCGTACGCCAGGGCCAAGCGTGGCCGGGACGGAGGAGGGCAGAAGGGGGCAGCAGAGAGGGTGAAGCTGCTGCCCCGCCCGTCAGTCTCACCTTGCCGGCTGTCTCCATGCTCTCATCCTCCTGCTCGTCTGGAAGGGAAGGGCAGACAGAACAGAGATCAGGGGAGCCCGGGCCAAGCGGGGGAAAGAAACGTACCCACCCTGGACCACGGCCTCCCTCCTACGGCGCCCGGCTGGGGACAGACACAGCCAGGCCGCGGAATGGAGCTCATTCTGCCTGCCTCCACTGCCGGGGAAAATTAACCCCTCGGGGCAGGGAACGAGAAAAGCCCAAAAGCGCCTGGGAGCATCCCTCCGTGCTCACCACAGGGCGTCTGCCAGGGGCTTCAGACGGAAGTGGCCCATCTCTAGCCGGGGCCCTGTCTCCTTGCTAATAGAAGTGAGGATGCTCGGGGGGTCCTTACCCAGGTCGGTCATGGTGCCCCCCTTCACGGGTGCAGACTCCGAGTCCTTCTTAGTGTTCACTGTCCCAGGGAGAAGGGGAAAAGCTTTACTGGGAGGCTCCAATCTCGGAGAGACACTCTGCCCACCCTCCCCAGCTCAGCAACTCGCCCTGGACCCGGCCAGAAAACGCTCCTGGCTAGTCCAGCCTCAGCCTCTGCCAGCAGCGTGACACAGGAGCCCTGGCTGTGGGTCCCAGCTATTCCAGCCTCAGCCAGCAGGGGGCACTGTGGGGCGCTCCCATTTACTCCAGTCCCACCTCCCCCCAAAGGGGGGACTGTAAGGGGCGAGGCAGGAGCACGTGCTGTGTGGGGACGCTCCCAGCCTCTCCCCCCGGGGTCGCTGTCGGGCTCCGTGCGGGGCCGCTGCCCAGACCTGTTTTGGGCAGCGTGACCTCCTCCACATTGGGGACGGGGGAGGGCTCATCCATGTCCTTCGTCAGGTCCTCCTGTTCCTCCTCGCGGTGCCCGCGCTTGGACTTGGTGTACGGGGTCGACGGGCTGCAGGGAACGAGAAACCCAACAAGCCCCGTTGCTGACGGCTGCAGCGGGCACCGGATGGCCTGCTGGGGCGCACCCGCTCCAAGCTCACCAGCCCCGGGGCAGGCGCTGCCAGGGCCCCTTTGCCGGCAGGGCCAGGAGCAAGGACGGCCCCAGCTCCAGATACGAGGACACTGGCCACGCACCCAGTCCCACCCCGGCAGAATCCCCAAGGGGGGGCCGGCACCGGCCTCACCCTTTCTTGGCGTTCTTCTTCTTGGCCTCTGGAGTCGGGGACGGCGAGGGTGAGCGCTTTCTCTTTTTGTAGTTCCCACCCTTCTTGTCGCGCCGGTCCGAGTCGGGGCTGTTCACCTGGGGGGGCAGAGAAGCTCATCCACACGCCGCTCTGGCCAGAGGGCGGCCTGGCTCCAGCTACCCTTCCCCCACCCGTTTATTTGCCCTGGCCTGGCTTTGCAAGGAGGGACCACACCCCAGGGCCCCCAATGGCTGGCAAAGTCTAGCACGTGTCCCGGGATGCAGGCAGCGGCTGCCTCCCTCCCACGGGTGGAGAAACCGAGGCACAGACTGGAGTGATTCATAGATTCCAAGGCCGGAAGGGATCACTGTGATCATCTAGTGCCTTATTTCCAGCCTGAACTGGCTACTGCCCCTTCCAGCCATCGGAATGCGTGAGCCCTCTCTCTGCTCGACCAACGAGCCCGTTATCCAACAGTTCCTCCCCACGCAGGTACGTACAGACCAGGAGCAAGTCACCTCTGAACCGTCTCTTTGCTAAGCTGAATAGATGGAGCTCCTTGGGTCTCTCACTACAAGGCAGGTTTTCTAACCCTTTAAACCATTCTCGTGGCTCTTCTCAGAGCCCTCCGCAATTTTGGCAACATCCTTCTAGAATGGTGGACCCCAGAACTGGACACGGGATTCCAGCAGCGGCCACACCAGGGCCAGATACAGAGGGAAAAGAACCCCTCTGTCCCTACTCGAGATCCCATTCATGCATCTCAGGATCGCATCACCCCTTTTGGCCCCTTGACTGGGAGCTCACGTTCAGCTGATTATCCACCAAGACCCCCCACATCTCTTTTTCAGAGTCACTGGTTCCCAGGAGAGAACCCCCAGCCTGTAAGCAGGGCCGGCACTCTTTGTACAGTAACTCCTCATTTAACCTTGTCCCACTTAACGTTGTTTCAATGTTACATCCCTGCTCAATTAGGGAACATGCTCGTTTAAAGTTGTGCAATGCTCCCTTAGAACGTCGTTTGGCTGCCTGCTTGTAAGATTCTGTGGAAGAGCAGCGACTTTACAAGGGAGCATTGCACAAGTTCCGCTTCTCCGCCTCCTCCCCTCCCTCCCAGCGCTTCCCGCTTAGGACTTTCTGGGAGGGAGGGGCAGGAGCAGGGATGCGCTGCGTCTCCGCTCCTCCCCCTCCCTCCCAGAAAGTCCTACGCGCCGCCAAACAGCTGTTTAGCGGCGCTTAGGCCTTTGGGGGGGAGGGATGTGGCGTGCTCTGGGGAGGAGGTGAAGCGGGGACAGGAAGAGGCGGGCCTGGAGCATTCCCGGCAAAATCCGAGCCTGTTCTCCGGGAAAGCTGCTTCCTAGTGTCCTTGCCTGCAGCAGGCTGTGCCTGTGTGGGGTAAGCCAGGGGCACTTCCCAACCACAGAACAGTACAGTACTGTACAATATACAGTATAATGCCTTTCGTCTGCCCCAAAAACATTTCCTTGGAACCTAACCCCCTGCATTTACATTAAATCTTATGGGACAATTGGATTCGTTTAACGTTGTTTAACTTAAAGTTGCATTTTTCAGGAACAGAACTACAACATTTAAGTGAGGAGTTACTGTACTTACATTCAGGCCTAGTAGAGCATATACTGGGGAGATGTCCAAATCTACATACTGACTCAGTAACAGGAACAGAACCCAGGAGTCCTTACACCAGCTGTCTACTCTTTCCAATAGAGCAGTGGTTCTCAACCAGGGTACGTGTACCCCTGGGGGTACGAGAGGTCTTCCAGGGGGGACGTCAACTCATCTAGATATTTGCCTTGTTTTACAACAGGCGACAGAAAAAGCCCTAGCGAAGTCAGAACAAACTACAGTTCCATACAGACAATGACTTGTTTAGACTGCTCTGTATACCGCACACTGAAATGTCAGTACAAGATTTATATTCCAGTCGATTTATTTTAGAAGTATATGGCATTGTTCGGTAACAGTGCGGCTGACACACTTTTGTAGTTTTTTGTCCGATTTTGTAAGCAAGTCGTCTTTAAGGGAGGCAAAACTTGGGGTCCGCAAGACAAATCAGACTCTGAAAGGAGGACAGTCGACTGAAAAGGTTGAGAGCCACTGCACTAGCCCCCTCTCCCCTCCCAGAGCTGGGAACAGAACCCAGCTAGGATCTTACTTCGTCAGTGAGCGTTTTGGCGGAGATTTTCTTCCTGCGGGAAACGGGGCTCTTCTCGTCGGTCACCTCGTAGTCTTCCTCGTTCATCCACTCGTTGAAGGTGTCCGTGTCAAGGATCCACTTGGCGTGGACCTGCAGGGGCAGAAAGGGCCCGGTTCTGGGGGGGCACCGAATGGTGCCATGGGGAAGCTTGGTGGAGATCCCATGCATTCGGGGGATGGGGCGATTAAGACACCCCGAATCGACTGCACATGAATTGGGGGAGGGTTAACGAGGTTCCGTCAGGAGGCCAAGGCAGAGCAACCAGCCCGAACGCGCTAAGAGCACAGGTGTGTGCAGGAATCTGCTGATGTCAACAGTGAGAACTCAGAGCCCACTGGCCCCCCGAGGCCAGCCCCGAGCCAGCCCCAGCTCCGTTTACACAAGTCCCAGCCAAGGGAGCCCCGTTACCTTCCGGGGCTTCTCCGGGGTGGGCGCGTCCTCGACAGAAGCTTCGATTTCACTTGCGGGGATCCAGGTGTCGTAGCTGTGGGGGAGGAACACAGGGAGTCGGGGGGAGGCTGCGTGTCACCCCCAGCCCACGCACATCCCCTTGGCAGGCCTGGCCCAAGCGCTGGAGGGGTTCGCAGGCAGCTCCCCACACTGCCCCCCAGCACGATGGCGCAGGGCAGCTGATCAGCACCTCGGGGGGCTCCCGTGGCCGACCGCAGGGGCGAGGAAGGGGGCCACACAAAGATTGAAGGGCTTGAAATGAACATGCAAACCCAGTTCTGCATCCCGGGGCTGCAGACAGGCTGACGGGGTTTCTTGAAGGTGGACCCAGCGCCACAAGGCCTGGGGCCCACTCCCTTTCGTCTCCCACTCACCTGTCCGGGAAGTAGCCCCAGTGCAGAAGGACCTGCTTGTCTCTCTTCATGACAGGTCGAACCCATTCTTCTACGAGAGACACAGAGGGGAGTGAGTGGCGGGGTGAGACACAGAGGGACCTCTGGGGTCCCAGGGGCAGCCCGGGGGCGCAGCTCCGGCACCAAATCGACACCTCCTGGATGCTACCAACTCCTGTATAATCATTCTAAGACTTCAGTCTTCTCTCGTTCATCTAGACACACCTGCCCGCCAGCCCACAGCAGCCACCTTCCCCACCAGCTCCAGGCAGCGGTGCCAGGCACTTTTTAGGACAGGAAGCGAAAAGCAGGGTCCTGTAGCCAATGGAAAGTGCCGGGGCAATTCACGGAGGCAGAACTGAATCGCCCACCCAGACCCTACACCTCGGATCCTCAGGGACCAGGCGTGGCCAGCCCACGTCTGTCATCTCCTCCGGGAGATGGCGTCTCTAGCAGCATGGACCCCCTGGCACCCCGCTAGGGCACTTCGTTCAGTGCCAACACTGAGGGGAGAGAGCTGCCATTAAAGAACCATCTGCTCCCACTCACCGGATCAGCCCAGCTACTCTTCCCTTGCGAGCACAAGCTACTGGCTTCGCGGTTCACCAGCCCTTTTCCTGCAGGTCTCTAGGTCGTTCCCCTCCCCGTAGGGGCCGTTCCCTGCATGCAGCCTGGCAGCGGGTCCAACCCTGCTTTGTGCCCCAGAGTTAGGCAGCTGCCCCCTGCAGACGGAGCCCCTCCGACCCGGAACGCAGGTTCACGCTGAGCTATCGGTGCTAGCCTCTGACACCCACACGGCCCGAGCCAGGCCCCAAAGAAGCCAATGGGAGCCGGATTAGACCCAGACTCCCCCGTGCTGCCGCCTCACCCTCCTCCAGGTTGCCGGGGACCGGGCAGACAACATGGGAAGCGTTGTTCCGATCCTCAGTGACCGTCCCCTGCAAGGAGATCAAAGGAGCGCGTCAGAGGCACTGGGCAAACGGCGGAAGCTGGGCCTGGCACCTTGGAGCCGGGAGATGCCCATCCCCGGGCGGACGAGGCAGGTGCGCCCGCGACGTGCCAGCTGGCATGGAACTAACCCCACGGGCTCCCACCTACCTGGTGCCGCTTGATAATGTCCTTCAGCTTGCCCAGCAGCTTGGGTTCGATCTCCTGGTGCAGAAAGATGTTAGGCCGGGCCAGGCAGTTGTTCTGCAGGAGGAAGAGGGAAGCGGAGCAGTGAGGGCCAGGCGGGGCTGGGGGACAAGGAGCAACTCGAATGGAGGGGAGGGGGGCGACCAGGCCGGTTACCTGCACCAAGGATTTCTCGATGGTCATGAACATCTCCACGTTGCGATCCATTCGCGAAGGGTTCTGGAAATCGAAACGCCGCCTTATTGGAAGAAAAGAGCGACTCTCATGAAAGCCACAGCTCACGCCTCCTGGATCAGCCACCCTTCCAACCCTGCCTTGGCCCGGAGCGATGACATCCTACCTGGATGCAACACCTGAGCCCAAGCCACGTGGCGGTGTCATGGGAGGGCTCTTTGCTCCCTGGAAGGGGGGCAGGGCACTGCCCGCTGGCTGCGGGCGCTGGATCCACAGGGGCCCTTGTCTGCGAGCACGGCCTGACACCTGCTTCCTGTGGGTGGGCACTGGACTGGGTCCTATTGCACCCACCCCACTGCTAGGGGCCGGCCAGCCAAACCGCCCCCTCCATGGAGACTCGTTCCTTCAGTCAGACGCCAGGGGGGCACCATGCATCACGGCTCGTTACTGAATCCCCTCCCCAAATCCATGCCCCCCACCAGGATCGGCACTGGGAGCCAAGAGCTGCACCCCCTCCCATAGACCCCGTCCAGGCTGGTTTGAACCCCAGGTTCACAAGAACAAAGTCTGGCCCCTCTACGGCCCTTGAAGGTCCACAATGCAGGTCTGCGAGCCATGGGCAGCACTGCCCCCAGCAAAGTGCATCTGCTGGTATGCGGGGAGCCTGGGGGGGGACCTGCCCGCCCCCCACCCTGAGCGAGCCGGGAGACAAGCGGGCAGGGAAGAGGGCAGCTCACCATCCTTGGTCACTCTTGAATTTATAGGCTGCAGCGAGGATGTGGCACAGGGATCCTCCTGCTTTGAAATCCAAGAAGCATTTTATCTGCAATAGAAGGACAGGGGAGGACGGGAGAGAGGCTGAGCCGACGGAGAAGACGGCGGCCGGCCGGCAAGGGGTTAAAGGGCACAAGCTGTCTCTCTCGGAGCCACAAGTGGCACTTCCAAGGCCCGCTGACAATCCAGCCCCCATCCCAGCACCTCCTGCTGGGTAACAGGAAAGGCAGCACCTCCCTGGGACCTGCGTCGCGGGGAGCATGGTCTTGGCTGGGGTGGATTTCAGACGCAGAAATCCCCCATCACCAACCCGTGTGGTATCTTGCCCAGGCCGCTCCCCTCTGGGTGTGCGAGCAGACGGGTTGCTCCGTTAAGGGCCGTCCCTCTTTGCCCAGTACGGCTCGGCCGGGTCGCAGCACTCACCGGCAGCTTGGTGAGCGGGGCGTTGCTGACATGTTTGCCGAAAACCTCCTCCTGGAACTGCAGCAGCTGCACCACCAGGCTGGAAAGGGACTTGTTGGTGGGAGGCTCTGCCTGGATGTACTGTGGGAAGAGCAAGAGAGGACGGAGCGGGGCTGTAACACGCTGCGCTCGAGGGCTATTTCAACAACAGAACGGGACCCAGGAGTCCTGGCTGGCCTGGACACACAGGCTGTTCCCTTAGAAGAAGGAGGCGGGTCAGCAGCAGAGGACTTGACCGTGAGCCCGGCAAATCTGTGCCCGGTGCTCAGGTTGTCTCTCTCCTTTCTCGCAGCTGGCAGCGTTCATTCGTATGTTATTTGCCTAGAGACCCTAGAATGCCCCATCGAAATGGACAAAGGCGAGAAGGGAAACCGAGGCCCCGAGGGGGAAAGTGACTTGCCCAAGGTCCCACAGCTGGTCAGTGGCAGAGCTAGGACTAGAGGGTAGGTCTCCCGAGTCTCACCCACCAGGCCACCCGGCACAACCTTTCTGCAATGGGGACGCGACTGCCAGGCACACGAGAACCGATCTCCCTCGGCCCATTAACGTGCTAGGCAGCTGCCCCCGCATTGGCAATGAACAGCTCTTGGGAACACTGGCCCTGCCAGAGCGGGCCAGTCCCGCCAGTATCCCCTTTCCAGCAGCGGTCAGTCCAAAGCGCTCCAGAAAACAGATGAGAGAGACTTTTTGCAGCCAGCCATGGAATACGGCCCATGGGGGACGTTTTCTCCCAGCTCCTGCCAGTCCAAGGCTGGTTATCCTTGAAGTAGGAAGGTTTGTGGCCCCTTTTGTCCTACTAATAGAGCTGTGGACGCGCTCAATAGCCGGAGGAACAGGACAAGCTTTTGGCCTCCACGAGACCTTGTGGCGTGGAGTTCCCCAAGCTAATCCTGCCTTGTGAGTCAAAATATTTCCTTCCATCGCTTTCAAATGCGTTGCTTTTGTTTCACTGGATGACTCCCCCTCCCCCCGCTCTTGTCCAAACACGAGAGGGAGGAGAGAGGCATCCACTCGATCTTGTCTAGCCCATTCGTCACGTCATTCGTTTACCACATCCCGGCATGAGGATGAACTGCTCCGTTCTTTCCGCTCTCTCGGTGGCCTGTGCTCTGCCTAGGTTTACAGGTACCAGATGCGCTGGGTTTTGCAGGGCTGCAAACATCTCAGTTCGGCACCTAAATACCTTTGAGGACCTGGGCCTTAATCCCTATATTGGACTGGTCTACCATCCTTCTAGTCCTGTATCCCATCTCAAGCCCTGACCAGCAGCAGCTTCCTTTGATTCAGTTTGGACAAACACAAGGCGCCTTAACCCTAGGGAGAAGAGGTGTGTCCTATGAAACCCTCACCGCTGCTCCCCGGGCCCCCCAGCACAGCCCCAGCAGGTGGGGAGAACCTGACGGGGGCGCTCGCTGTGATCTGTCCTCTCCTCGGAGGTGACTTTTGTTAGCCTGTGCACATTTCTGTTTTTAACGCAGGCAGCAGTGGGCGCATGGTCCCCATGTCTGTACAGGAACCCAGACTCCCAAGAAAGAAACAAGCTGATCATATTGGCCCTTCCATCTTCAAAGCACTCTGCAAAGGTTTGTTCCCTGACGACGACGCAGGACCATGGACAGGAATTGGCTTCTGCCCCTGGCCTGAGGAATGGCCTTTACTTCACCTTTCCCTGGGCCTCTTTCTCCTCCCACTCTGCCTGTGACGACTGTAAGCTCCTCGGGACAGCGACGGTCTCTCGCCAGGTGTCTGTCCCGCACCCAGCCCGACGGTGCTCTGATGTCGTTTGAGTTCCCCCAGCAATAATCCAGACCAATACACTGCGTTTGTCTCAAACTCTGGGGTGACCCAAAGCACCCATGGGGCGGTAGCGATTGGGACAAGCCCGAGGAGACGGGCATTCACCCAAGCGGCATCCTCCACAAGCCAGGAGAGGAGAGACGCTATCATGCAGCCATATTCATCGCAGCTCAGAGGACAGAGCTTTTAGCGGAAGGTAGCTAGGGAGGGGAGCAGCGACAGACATAGGAACGGCCACGCTGGGGCAGACCAATGGTCTATCCAGCCCAATCTCCTCTCTTTGACAGCGGCGGGTGCCAGGTGCTTGAGGGAATGAATAGAACAGGGCAATTAGCCAGTGATCCTGTCGGCCAGTCCCTGCTTCTGGCAGTAGCTCAGCCCTGTGGGGGTGGGAAAAGGCAAATTCCCAGGGAGCGGGTGAGGGTCAGGTCACAGCCTGTCACTCCAGACCCAGGAGCTGTCTGGTGACTCAGCCACTGGCTACACTCAGAAGGTCAAAGGTAACAGCCTGGGAACCACAGCCCCATGCTCTTTGCATGACAGCGGAGGGACCCGACCCGGGGACACAGGTGGGGCCGGCAGGACCCAGCCCACGGGCCCTACGCTGAGACAGCAGGGCAGGTGGCTGATTTATCATAACACGAACGCTGCCCCTACAAAGAGAAGGCTCCTCGCAGCCCGGATCCGCTGCAGCTCCTGGGCAGAGGAACTGGTGGTTTCATCAGGGAAGAGCAATCCCAAGCCATAGGGGGCCTGTTCTCTCGGTAACTTTCGCTCCATTTTCAGCTTCTCGGGAGACAGGCTGGCCTTTGTCTTGGGTGAAAGATGGGGACGGATCCGAGGGGAGACGGGACATCATCAGCTTCTGGGCAGGGTCCCCCCTCGGAGGGAAGGGACAAGGTTGACAGCCAGAGTGAATGAAAGAGCATCTATTGTGCCCCTAAGAGCAGGGGACGGGGCAGGAGGTTAAGGGGGACCTGGAGCCCCTTCCCAGGACAGCTGCGATTAGGTGGGGAACAAACCCCCTTCAGGAAGAGGATGGGCTGTGTGCAAAGCAGATCGGCCCCCAAACGCTTGCGAGGCCTTTGCTGAGCTGGGGGGTGGGGTGGGGAGTGGAGGGGGATTAAAATGAGAAGCTGGGATGGGGGTAGGTGGTGAGGGGGGGGGATTGGAAGGGAATTAAGGGTGATGGAGGAAGGAGGGGGAGGGGTCAGTGGGGCTGAAGGGGGTGAACGAGGGGGAGGCAGGG